AACACGTGAGACTGAGTTCATTTCTTGATATGCTGGCCTTCGGATGGGTGGCCCCCCCCCAACTACATTTTCACCTCTTATTCTTTACTTACTTTCATACTTCTCCCATACCTTTCGTTCTCCCTCTCTATCGTGCCCTAATTTAACAACTGTCAAATCTCGTGAATGAAGCCGATAAATGGCTCAGAATTTCTAGGAATGGCCAGCTCGCTGTTTAGTTCGTACTGGCCAAGGCCACTGGTTGTGCAAGAATTTCTCATTTTATCACATCATTTGCACGAAATTCAAGTGCCAAATCAGTGCCAAACTCAATCAGATTCTTCCACACCAAGAGAGGCGTCATAAGCACTTTTTCATCGCGTGGGAAGCGTTTCAGACTATGCTCTTCTGACGTTGTTCAAATCCAACTTTTCCGAGAAATTTTTTACCCGATCGATCAGTTTTAATCTGCAGCCCTTCAGGAATACTTGCTCTATTCCGTTTCCTGGCGACGTAGAAACAACCGTGTGATGAATCAAGCAGCATTGAGAATTCGAATATCACAGTAGAAGCTTCAAAAAAGTCATTCTGACCGGAACCGATTCTCGACTGCTTAGTCACTTCACGCGAGTTGGCTTGATAAGAGCTTTAATCCTTTGTTTATTCTTCATAGCGAGTGAACTACGATGCCCAAGTAGAGATCGTACGTAATCCCTTATAATGGGAACGACTTTTATGGAAGTGAGGGACGAGGGATTCCGCTTCTTCAGAAGAATGAATAAGGTTTGGGAATCATATTTTTTCCACAAAGCAAGAGACGTACCTCTTTACACCTTCGGTACCTTTTCGATGATAATCGAAGTACCGGTGGGCATTGAGCGAAAACTGTTAGCCGGGACCATTGAAAAAACATGGTCTTGATTCGAGCGTGGCGTATTCGCTGGTTCTCTTTACCCCAACCAAGTGATGCAGTAATTAAACGACGAATCTCTTGGCCCTCTTTCAGGAAGGTAAAAATAGCAATATGCAAGGAGTAGTTGCTCGTAGTTGCTCGTGAACACACTCATAGCCAATTCAATTATCATTTAGAATTGCTTTGCATGTCTGTGAAGCTGTGTAAAAGCATATCAGCGTAAGGACACTGTTCCAAGTTGAGGCGTGAGAATCAGGCTTATGGTAGTCGGTGCTCTCAGTTGATTGAGACTTTTTCAATGATAAAGTAGTGAAATGGGAGTTCGCTTTGATTTGAACGGGGATAAAAGTTAGAAAAATTTTTTGTTGAAAAGTATAATCATAAACATTTGAGTGTTTGCGCAGTCTGTGCCGAGACTTGTGGGCGCCATTCGCCAAAAAATTCAGGACTACTACCTGGTGTCACAATCTGTTGACTCAGAGAATGGAGTAATCGAATGGCAAATGACTGGGCTGAGTTCGAGTCCGTTCCCCTTGACATTATGGCTTTTATCGAGGGAAAAAAANAAAAAAACTGGCCAAGTCGAGTATTTTGTCCTTTTTCTCTTCTCAAGCCAAGTGTCAGTATAATGGCTATGAGACGCTGTGAGATTTATTTCCGACTCTCGACTTGATGGCGACCTTCGAGCTTCACCTGCAATTTGCGCACTTCTTCAGGGTGGCATTATCCATTCGGCATCGTAGCAGCCCCTACCCCCCCGTGTATGATTTGCAGTTTTAGGAGGATTCCTTCCTCATTGTCTATTCTTCAGTCTACATTCATCTCGCCAACGAACGTTCACATCAGCTCATACTTTATCACTTTTGCTCTGTCACTTACCTCGGTTATTACCCGGTTGATTTTGCAGTGAAAACGCGTCTAATATGGAAGTAACAGAAATTTATTTATAAGGGAAAGTATGTGGGACAGTGAGTCTTACTTTGACATTTGGGTTTGAAAAATGGGCTAAACGTAACGTCGAACTACGTACTTCTTCGAGAGGGATTGAAGTTCACGTTGCGTTGGATTTTGCCGAGTGTTCCAGAACTGACACTCTCCCCATTTTGTCTTAGAAAGTGGCTCAAAAAGCGCAGCCATTATTTCCAATTTCTCATTCAAAATGGTTCATTAGGGGATTTTAGTAGTTATTTCCACACTCATCGGAACTGATCTATGTACACCGGTCATGGCAACTTCACAACGTCTGGGTCGGCAGTAGCTCATTCAGCACTTTCACAGTACTTGCTTTTGTTTTTTGAGACTGGATGATTTATTCTTCGATTGTGTTTTTCGTAGGCGACACCTTTAGATCCATTAGCATGAATGAATGGATAACAAATACGTCACTGAATCTTATCATCATTCTTCGATGCACACCAGGAATGCGAGTTTCGCGTAGCCAGAAGTGATTATATCTTTAAAAGTATGACAGTTCTGCCTCAGGCTTTTGGACAGAGAATTCTAGAATAGGAATGAAAATGGTTCTCCTAAAAAATACTCGATTACTAATGGTGATAGCTCTATGTTCATGCTAACTGAGTGGGTTAACAACAAGATAAGATGCCCTTGTGGCTAGATTCGTCAGAATTTCAATCTTTCATTGAATCTCAATTCCTTTCATTTTCGGCAAAAAAGGTTACTTTATTCAATCTCTGCAAGTTATCGGGCTTCACAACTTGTACATTCGACAATTCAGAAGGCTCAGCATAAACTTACCTGCTTCCCAACCTGCCAATTTAGCTTTTTTGTGAATATGTAGCTGTGCAGAAGCCTTAAAACATCATACTGTCGCTAAAGGACCGTTTTTGGAAATGACCATGCACGACTCCAGCCACTGGTTCAGAAATGCTCGGTCTGATTGTACGTATAGTACCCCGGATCCTCTTTGACAGCGTCGAGAACGGCGGAATCATCATCTGCCTCGGGGCGTCCCGGCCAGGGTTTACATTCGAAGCTCGTGTTCCCTTTTACGAAAAGTGTGTACTAGTGGTGGACTGTCACCATGATGGAAGCGACCTCCGCCAGTGCGTAGTTGATGGTATGGACTGCTGCTGTCGCTCCAGTGTGGCGGCGCCCACTCATAGAAAATGACGGCTTGAAGATAGTCTTGTGAAGGTCATGGGTTTGAAGGTCTTCACGACGATTCTGGGTTATCCATTTCTCAGCGATCAATCTCTGGCACCTTATTGTCCCCATCCAGAACGTTCTTCGATCTCATTCCTGCAGGGATGGTATCGTATAGGGTTAACTCGAATTCATAATTTAGGAAAATCTCAGGAACTATTTTCACTGTGAACTGTAGCTTTAAGGCGCCGAGAAAGCGCCCCTATATACTTTTCGTGAAGAAACTTTCAAAATGTTCTGCAGCTATCGTGAATATACGTTAAAAACCGAAAATCAGAACTTTTCATAAACTTTTTGATCAACTTAATACTAGCAATTAAAAGGAATTGTACTTGACGAGAACTGGCTTTGCCCTTTTGTTTAAAATTATCAATGCACTAATAAGCAATGAGGTAATTGACTCAAACTTCTCGGTTCCTTTAATGGCGCAAGAATTGGAATTTAGGAAAAAATGATTTTGAGGGAGATGACTTTAAGGAAGGGATATTTCGAGGGAGATTATCACTCTACAACGAAAGGGATCTCAAATGGCGCTCTATGGGAAAATGCGGCACGAAAAAAGACATAAAAATGTCATTTTCCACACTTGAGGTGGTGAAAATGGTGGAAGAAACGCTAGAGAGGGAATCATGAGTCAGCTTTCCCGAGTAATTACTCGAATACTTCCTGCCTTCACGTTTGTAGGGCCCATCTTAACCGCATGATACGCTCCTTCAAAGAACCCATTTTCCCGGACCGTTGAGGGCTTGTTTGTGAGCTTGGTTGGAATTGAGTTTCTCATTGAAAACAACAAAGACCTGCAGCAGATTCTCCAATTTAGTGTTTACGTTAGATGTTTTGCTGCTTGAGTCGTTGTGAATGATGAACGATTGTTATCGCGAATGCTGGTTATCTTCATCGTTTACTCAGGTCCATACAGTTCTAAGTTAAGGAAGTAAACATCAAAGGGTCATATCACCTGATTTCTTGATAATTCACGAAACGGAATGAGACGGTCGGCTAGCTATTCGGCGCCCTCAAAGGAATGTGAATTGTAGCGCTTGAATAAGCCCTAACCATTCGGGCAGGGTGATGCTTTTCATCACCCTGCTAGTGCCTCATTTATCCTCATCGTAACCTGCAATCACGTGCCCAGGAAGCTTAACTGAGATTGGTCCTGAATAAGTGTAGAAACGTGATTCCCTCACCTGGGCAATTATAGGCCTCGGAGTGTCTGGATCGCTTCAGGAACTTGCCCTTAAAGTAGTAGATATAAATTTCTTTTATCTGCAGCAGCATAAGTTGAATTAAAGCATTTAGACTGGAAGCAGAATTTGCTAATTGGCGTTAAATTAACAGAAAGGCAGTTATGTAGATCTCGTTGGGTACTGAAGGTAACCATAGAAGGAAAAAAACAGGAAAAATCTGAGAAGCGGAGAGATTCGAGTCCACCTCGAAGCGAGAAATCTAGCAGATGACTTCTTGGGCGACCGTTTTACAGCCGTCGTTCTGCAGTGGGATATGCACTGCTACCTAGGTCTGAAATCGCTTCCAAGGTGGTCGCTTGAAAGTAAACAGCGAGTTTATGGATAAAACAAATAAAGAAATAAGTTTTTGCACTAGTTTTAAGTGTTCAGCTGCACCTGTGCAAGATGGCGAGAAGATCGAGGAGAAACTAAAACACCTCCAAGAAGAACTTGCTGTACTTCAACGGCAACTGACGGCACCTACGGTTACGGAAAAAGAAGTAAGTTTTCTAATTTGAGTATAACCTTTGGCACTTCCTTAATGACAAGGACGCTGCTCGGTCTCCATTGCACATTCCCCCAATTGACTTCTATTCCCAGTTCTTTGGACATTGGAGGCGTAGACAATGCCTGAATTACTACGCTGCTGGCTAAATACATTTTCCAGTTGGTTCCTTGGTTCCTTGAAGAGTCCAAGCTGAAGTAGACTAGTTGGAAGGGTATAAATGGGTGGGGGAAGGGGGTTTAAAGCAATGTCGAGAGCGTTTATAGCTGAAGAATACTACCGCACCGCTTAGAGAGAATCTTGTGTATCTCCTCCTCGATGGCGGCTCGGCTCCCTCTTTTTTAGGGAAAACCTAGCTTGGGCCTTTCTTTTCACTCAAGTTAGCTGAGGTTTCCGTGATGCTAATGAAAGCAGACGGTCATGACTTATTCAAAATTAAAATCGTCGCATAATTACCCACGCTACTTCACCACAGCAATCAGCTGTAATGTATTGCATGCAATTATCTTGTGTTGAATAGATGAAGGAAGATGGCTTCAAGCGCATCCTCCAAAGCTCGACCTCTCACAAAGAAAAGAAGGAAACGCTGAATGTTTCATGCCCCATTTGCTCTGAGATCTCCGAAATTGGGCTCTAGTCGCCTATATGACGAATTTGAGTGAGCAACAAGCGGAAGGATGTGCCAGTTGCTACGCAAGCGTTCATTTGGAGTCTGGAAAGCAGTTTTTTTGACCCTAATTGGCTGAGTCTTGCCCTTCTCAATACCAGTTTTAGCAGAATTCTCAATGTTTGTTCCGTTTCGGATCTCGCTGATGTAAAGCTTTTTGGGATGACATTGGACAGCCAGACAGAATCAACTAAACGGCCATCTCTGTTTGTAAAGCCAAAAAAGAGTCGAAGTTCTACTGTCTCTAGCTCTAGGTCAGATTCAATCAGTAAAGAACTTTCCTCTGTTATTTTCAGAAAAATTTTATCTTTCCCACCCTTTGTTGCGCTCTGATCCCACGGGCAAACCGGTGGTGTCAGAGTATAACAATTCCGCAAAATAAATTGGATTGGCCGTACCTTGACTCGCTCAGCGATAACCATGGGTTGAGGTCACCCATACGAAATAACCAGTCTTTCGAAATGTTGCAGTTTTACTTCTCTGTACTCCCAGAGAAGCGACAATTGTTTTCAACTTGAAGTGAAAACCCACAGCCCATAAAATTTTCAGTGAAGATGCATGCATAGTAGGCATGCACTTATACATGCCTAGACATAGGCCTTTGGAGGCACTTAGACAAATAGCGGAAGTGATAGTACAGAATAGTGCAATAGTGTCGAAGAGAACGCGAATGTCAGCCTATTTAGAAAATTAGAGTGCTCAGAAAAAGGAGAAAAATTAGGGCTTGGACGAAAATAAGACGACAGAGGTCGCATGGAATGGACGAGCTGTTCAAATTCAAGCGCTCCATCGCATACAGTTGGCTACAGTAAGCTGCCTGCATGCAAGGTGGGGTCCTGCTGCGAATGATGCAATCTCTGCAGCTTTTACAACACTTAAGAACTCACCCGCCTTAGATGTCTATGTCGACTGAGCGGTTTTAGGACCCATATTACGCCCTATTAAGATCGTTTTTCGACCCGACAACGTCCCCTGTGCAAAAAGAAATCAGAAAGCAGAAACCACTTTAATCATGAAGTGTACTTTCAAGAACCCTTACCCTATTTCTGGTCGATTGGAACTATCGCACGTTTCTGAGCGAGAGCGCTGGGAAATTCATCGTATCTCTCGGTGTTCTCCTGCAAAAAGTTCTATTCATTAGAACTGCCTTTGGATTGAATAGAATCATTTAAACCTCTTGTCCATGCTTTTGTTTGAGACGAAAAGTGGGTGCAATGGTTTTAAGTGTTCGCACCTTGAAAAACTCATTTAGTTGTTTTGCCGTCATCTATTACGACGATCCCATCCAAGCCCTCTGGCGTATCACAGTCTGAAAAGGCTCCAGAATGATATGGGTTCAAGAGAACCCAGATATGTGGATCCACGTTTTTCTTCGAGGCAAATGAAGAGCGAGAGATAGCTTTTATCGTTTACTGCTTAAGTCGTCAAGTTTTTTCTTATTTCACCTCATTCTGCTTGAATCTTATGGGGTAACATCCGCGCTTACCTATTGCTTTCGCAAGTCGTCTACTCCATTACTACCGGAGTCATTAAGTCCAACCAAACCACCATAGCCACCTTCAACAAATGGGGGTGGCAATGCTATAATGCATTTTGGACATCTCACCACCCATTCCCACTTTCAAACAATTAGCGTGAGTGACAAAAACGAACGCAAAAACCCACAACCACTTGAAAGTCAACTCAAAGGGCACAGTACTGGGGAAGATGAAGAGGTTTGGCTGGTCGAGCTGCTTCACGACATCATATGTTTTTTCGGTTGAACTTATGATTTAACCTCAATCTTTTCGGCCACAATTTCAATCAACCCTTAACAGCCTACGTAATAAGCATAGATTAATGGGGAGGGTAATCGGGTATAGGTCTTGGAGAGGGATCGGTGCGATTTGTTGAATACACGAATGGGTCAAGAGCCATATCCTGCATCGAAACATGCTCAAGCCTACCGCTTATATCTAATTTGTTTTATGCGCTGGATAGGAACACTGTTCGGGCTACCTTATATCACAGTATGGTCTGAATATTTATTCAAACGAGTTCCAATGGTAAGCTTGTCCCATGCCATGGTTATCGGCGTGCTGAATTGAAATCAGTTCACCGTGCCCATATCTTTCCTCTCTAAAATATTGCAGATTGGGAGTACTGGCAAGGTGAATCGACGCAGTTTATGATGGCAGATTGCTGTCGCATATGCATTCCCAGGAGCCTTTTCCATAGTTTTTTGCAAATTACGGTAAAATCGGTGCATAGTATTCCAATGAGATGAACACAGACCTCAATATGAAGGAATCACGATGGATTCTCATTCTTGGGAACGTAATTAATGAAAAAAATTCAAACTCCAATAGGAATTGTACTAAAAGGAAGGCAGTTCGAAAGTTTTGAAACCTCTATTCTATACAAACCGTCTGTTCTTTTGAGGTCACATATCAGAATCAGTCTGGGAAATCAAAACCACTGCTTGAGAATAGGCGTTTTGTAGACTATTACCACTTCGTACATAAACTTAAAACGGCTTCGACTTTGACTGCCTTCCCTAGTTAGAGCGCGAGTCGAGTGNGTGGCTTATCGTGGAGAGGTGCTAGTCCCTTTCTGTGACACTTTACATCGCCACAGATCATCACCTATTTGTTCACTTCTGATTTCACACTTTGGGAGTTTTTTGGGTCTCCCCAGTGCCTACTAGTTCAGCAGCCCATAGTTGCCAGTTGGTAGAATAAGGTTGGCTCAGGATTATAATACCACTAAGTGATAGTTGAGAAAACATTCTGGAAACCGTGTGACAGAAAGTCTACGAAGAGCAATCGATAGTGCCGATCGGCGTCAACGTCAACGCCCGATTTCTTTCTTGCCTTATCAGGAGCCCTATCAATGGAACTCAAATGTTAACCCCTTTTAGAATCACAAGACGTTCTTCAGCTGTGCTCCACTTCCAGTATAAATAACTGAAGGGGCTTAAAAAACTGCGTCTAGTTATGGCCTGTTCCTGTAGTGAGGAAATATCAAATAGAGAAGTGTTAAGATGCATTCCAGATGCGGTAATAGTATGGCGCCACTAGTGAAAAAATATGGGAGGAAATAATAATCTGCTATAAGTTCAGCCTTTGACCAACTTTCTAAAATTTGCTCCAGAGACTGGGACTTTGATAAGTGGCATTAAAGCAGAAGAAAGGCTGATATGTAGATCTAATTGGGAATACGCACAAGAATTTCACCTTCTTCTCCAATAGAAGATTGATTAAGCTAGTGGAGTAGGTACAAGCAACAGCATTTGAAAGTCCTAAACTGTACAGTTCATCCTGTCAGTACTACCTAACCTCTGCATATTAGAAAGGGCAACCATAGTAATTTTCCCAGGAAAAAGACAGACTGAACGTCTGCTGAGCAACTGATTCCGATCACTGCAGAGTCTAGCATGTTCCAAGCGTGAATATCGTGAAACATTGCTAAGTCATCCGACTGTGCTTGTCTCGGTCAGCCCTTCATTCCTGTATTTCCTCAGCCTTCACAAAGCCGAAGGCCGAGGCAGAAGAAGAGCAAATATTCTCTACGGAGTGTAGATGATATCCAAGTGTGAGGTTAATACAACAATATTCTCTCTAGCTGAAGCTGGCGCTACATTCCTGTATTTCGTCAGCCTTCACAAAGCCGAAGGCTGGGACAGAGCCTTCAGAACCCTGATGGTAAAATGATTGGGTATTAGACTCATACAACGACCACGAATCCAAATGTTGAAATTAAGTCCTGCCTTGTTCGTTGACTGAGATTCGTGGGTCGTTGTATGAGTCAAATACCCTATCGTTTCACCATCAGGGTTCCGAAGAGTAGCCCGAACTCATGACGGGCTTGCAAAGAAAAGGTCAATAAGTGAGAGTTATCCTTTAACAGGAGGGAAAAGCTGGTTTCGGGTCATTGCCATAAAAGTATTATGCTACTTATAACGGATTTCAATATATCACCTAGGTAATACCATGTAAGTAGCCTAATTTGTAAGGTCATGACGACATTCATCTTTCATAGCAATGGCTAGCCGTTTTAGGTGTCTTCAACGGAGGTGCTACAATGTGCTTTCTATGGTTAAAGCCGGGAAAAAGCGCAATGGGGTGACCCAGCCCCAATCATCTATTCGGGCTATTTGAGCTGGGCATTCATAGACTTCTTGCAAGGAATCTCATGAATTCAAGGGACCTATAACCACTGCTTTAACCTAAATGGCCAGTGAAGACGCTTTGCTTTCTACCACTATTTTACGATCTAGTATATACTTATATTGAATGACTGGCTTCTATTTAGAAGATTGACAAGATGAACAACATCTTATTACCTAT